TTTTAATCATGTTCATTTTTATATTGTTGAATTTTAAGGGTTCTTTTTTCTGAATGACAGTTCTTTTTTTAAAATTCTTTATTTAAATTCAACTTAGTTAACATATACTGTATTATTAGTTTCAGGGGCTGAATTTAGTGATTCATCAGTTGCATATAACACCCAGTGCTCATTACATCAAGTGCCCTCCTCAATGCTCATCACCCAGTTACCCCTTCCCCTCAACCAGCTCCCCTCCAGCAACCCTCAGTTTGTTTCCTAGAGTTCAGCATCTCTTATGGTTTGCCTCTCTCTCTATTTTCATCTTATTTTATTTTTCCTTCCCTTCCCCATGTTCATCTGTTTTGTTTCTTAAATTCCACATATGAATGAAATCATGGTATTTGTCTTTCTCTGACTGACTTATTTTGCTTAGCATAATACCCTCTAGTTCCATCCACAGCAGTGCAGAGGGCAAAATTTCATTCTTTTTGATGGCTGAGTACTATTCCATTGTATATATATACACCACATCTTTATCAGATATGTCTCTTGAAAATACTTTCTCCCAAGGTATGTTTTGTCTTCTTGTTCTCTTGACATTGTCTTTCTCAGAGCAGAAGTTTTTTATTTTAATGACATCCAGATTATCTATTCTTTCTTTAATGAATGGAGCCTTTGGTGTCATATCTAAAAAGTCATTGCCATACCCATGTTATCTAGATTTTTCTCCTATGTTATCTTCTAGGTGTTTTATAGGTTTGCATTTTACATCGGTCTATGATACATTTGTGTTAATTTTTCTTGAAGGATGTAAGCTCCATGTCTAGATTCATTTTTTTTTTTTTAAGATTTTATTTATTCATTTGAGACAGAGAGAGAGAGAAAGCATGAGCAGGGAGAGAGGCAGAGGGAGAAGCAGGCTCCTCACTGAGCCAGGAGCCCAATGTGGGACTCGATCCCAGGACCCTGGGATCATGACCTGAGCTGAAGGCAGATGCTTAACCATCTGAGCCACCCAGGCGCCCTAGATTCATTTTTTAACATCCAGTTGTTCTAGTGCTGTTTGTTGGAAAGATATCTTTTCTCCATTGTATTGACTTTGCTGCTTTGATAAAGATCAGTTGACTATATTTATGTGGTTCTATATCTGGGCTCTCTATTCTGTTTCATTGGTCTGTTTGTTCTTTCACTAGTGCTACCCTGTCTTGATTACTATAGTTTTTTGTTTTTTTTTTTTAAAGATTTTATTTATTTATTTGACAGAGAGAGAGACAGCTAGGGAGGTAACACAAGCAAGGGGGAGTGGGAGAGGGAGAAGCAGGCTTCCCGCCGAGCAGGGAGCCCGATGCGGGGCTCGATCCCAGGACCCCGGGATCATGACCTGAGCCGAAGGCAGACGCTTAACGACTGAGCCACCCAGGCGCCCCTTGATTACTATAGTTTTATAATAATTCTCGAAATTAGGTAATGTCAGTTCTTCAGCTTTGTTCTTCTTTTTCAATATTGACTTGGCTATTCTGCACCTTTAGCTCCCCATATCAGCTTTAGAATCAGTTTGCCAGAGCCACAAAATAACCTGCTGGAATTTTGATAGGGATTGCATTGAATCTATAGGTCCAGTCAGGAAGAACTGACATCTTGATAATATTGAGTCTTCCTACCCATGAACATGGAATATCCATTTATTTAGTTCTTTGGTTTCTTTCATTAGAATTTTATAGTTTTTCTCATATAACTTGTGTACATTTTGTTAGATTTGTATCTAAGTGTTTCATTTTTTGTAGGTGTTAATGTCAACGGTAATATGTTTTTAATTTCAAATTTTACTTGTTTATTGCTGATATATAGAAAAGTGACTTTTGTATATTAGCCGTGTATTTTCTCCCTTACTATGTAATTGCTTATTAGTTCCAGAAGGGTTTCTGTTGATTGTTTCAGATTTTCTACATAGACAGTCATGTCACCTGCCAACAAAGACAGTTCTATTTCTTCCTTTCCAATCAGTTTTCCTTTTATTTCCTTTTCTTGTTTCATTAGCTATAGCTCCGTTTTCAATCCCTTCTCTTATTTTTTGTATTCATTCACCTTTCCTGTTTATTCTGCACTTTTCAGTCTGAATAATATTCTTGTTAAGTCAGACAAATGAGAGTTGAGAGAGTTGAGAATCTCAGACAATGAGAGAGTTGTTTATGTTATACAAAACAGCACAAATAATTAATTGCATGTAAAGGAGTTGGGTACTTAAATGTTTACAGACTTATAGATGGAGTTAATTTTGACCAAGCCTTTTTTGAGAATTTGAATTGGATGAGAAGAAGATTAGAGGAGAAAGGTTAAGAAAAACATCTGGCATTTGGTAAGAAAATACTTGTATAGAGCTATAATAATTACATGAGCTATATTGGAGTAAAAGGTCATTGTGGAAAGATGGGAATTAGTCAAAGTGAAGATATGGGAAGAGGCAACTTAATAAAATGGCACTTAAGTGCTGTATTTATAGCACATCAAGTAGTGTGGAACTTTACATTTTAAAAAACCATTTTCATGTAACCTTCTGAGAGGGATGTATTCTTACTTTATGAATAAAAAAATACTTAGATTAAGAAATGTACCAATTCCATATAACAACAGTATGTGACCCAGTTAGGACTAAAACTCATTATCTTATATTTCCAAGGTCCCTGTGCTTTCCTGATACTGTTACACCTCTGTTGCCTCACCGTAATACCCTATACTTAAAACTCTTAACAGTTTATTGTTTTTTCATGTGCAGTATCTAATTTGGACTCTCAAAAGCCTTGTGAGGTATATAGCTCAGGTATAATGATCTCATTTTACAGATAAGAAAAATAAAGATGAGAGAAGTTAACTAGAGGTAAAGCAGCTGGGACTGCTTTCTTAATCTTATCATTTATTTTCTATATCTAGTTTCCATTCCTGTTCATTTTTCACTTTTTAGTCAAGATATGTTTTCCATTAAACTGAGACTAAAGGGAGTTAAGCAGATTAAAACATCAATACTATAGTAAGTAAAAGTACAGATCCAGATTTAAATTTATGCCTGTGGTTGCTGTCTTCTTGACAGTTGTCTGTTCTGGAATAAAGAACCTACTGGAAGACCCAGAATTTTTTTTTTTTTTTCAGAAATTTCTTGAGACTTGTACATACCATGATTGAGAATTATTCTGTTAGATGTGTGTGGAATTATTTGGAGAGATCAGAAGTGGAGGTTGGTGATATCAGCTGCTAGGTGGCCATGATAACATAATTTATTAATAGATTTAAAATTCATTTGAAACAGGTGTGAAATGATGAAGTTCTCGATAAAGATAAAAGTTTCAATATATGGATATTTCCACTTAAAAATGCACAGGAATAAAGTACTACACTCTCTCAGTCCTACCAGTATTGATATTACTTAATAGTGTTTGGAATGGTTTGATTTATTTGATAATACTTTAAAAATTGGAATCAAATCTACTTTTTTATTACCCCAATAACTTATGTTTGAAGTAGGAAGGAAACAATTCATATTTCTCAGCAGCTGCTAAGATCCATTCTGAAGTATCGATGTATTAATTTCTTATGGTTGCTGTAACAAATCGCAACAGAAATTTATTCTTTCACAGTCTGAAATTAGTTATCACTGGGCTGAAATTAAGGTGTTGGCAGGGCTATCCTTCTGGAGGTTCAGGGAAGAATCTGTTCCTTGCCTCTTCCAGCCTCTGGTGGCTGCCAGTATTAACTTGGTTGGTGGCTGCATCATTCTAATCTCTGCCTCTGTGGTCACATTACCTTCTTTTCTTTTTTCCGTGTCAAATCTCCTACTGTCTTCTTATAAGGTACATGTGGTTGCATTTAGGGCCCACCTGGATAATCCAGTAGATAATGTCTCCATCTCAAAATCCTTAATTATAACTGTAGTGTCTTTTTTGCCATACAGTAACACTGAAAGGTTCCAGGGGTTAGGATGTGGATGTCTTTATTGGGGAGCCATTATTCAGCCTACCACAGTAAGAACTGTTGCTTCTTTTTCTTCTTTTTTCTCACATCCCTTTTCTTTTCTCCTATTTTTTATTATTTTTCATCTTCCAGAAGTACAAAGTGGCAGAAAGATTGATTGAATGTGATCAAAGGTATGTTGAAGAGTTGAGTAGGTAAGGTCTAGATGAGTAAGTGAGCCTAATTGCCTTCATTATAGAGCATCAGATTGTGTTCACATTAATTTTTTGTTATTGAATTAGTTGATAGTAATACTTTTGTTAAATTCAGCACCCTTGGGGCACCTGGGTGGCTCAGTCGTTAAGTGTCTGCCTTCGGCTCAGGTCATGATCACAGGGTCCTAGGATTGAGCCTCGCATCGGGCTCCCTGCTCCGCAGGAAGCCTGCTTCTCCCTCTCCCACTCCCCCTGCTTGTGTTCCCTCTCTCGATGTGTCTCTCTCTGTCAAATAAATAAATAAAATCTTTAAAAAATAAATTCGGCACCCTTTATTAAAGTAATTACTAAGTCTTTGGGTTAAGTGTGTGAGTTAACATGAAATTACTTTCCAAGTAAAGCATCTTTTGATTAGATTGGCAGGCATTGATATTATTATTGAGAAAATAGCCAAAAAATTATTAACATTGTTTCAAAACTCATTTTCCTTTAGGCGGTTTTTTTCCCCCCACATTTGCATTTTGTTTCAGTGGTAACTCAGGCTTGAATTTAATGAAAGGAAACAGAAGAGTTGGCAGAGTTCCAGTCCAAAAGTCCATTATCAAGAGACCTTTGTGGTTTGGGGCATATCACATAACCTTTGGGCCTTTGTTTCCTAGTACCTATAATAGGAATTGAATTATGTGATTGTTAATTATATGATTGCTAAAAGCCTTGGTCTGGTATTTAGTATAAAGTATTTAAAAACCAACAAACAGGCCAATAAACAACAAATTTCATTTATTTTGTAGTATTTGAAAAGGGAATCATACAGGCAAGATTATTTTGAAATAACTGTTCATGCTTTTTGTTTTTGTGCAGATGGACCACACGTCCCCAACCTACATGCTTGCTAACTTAACCCACTTACATTCGGAACAACTTCTGCAGGGCTTGAATCTTCTTCGTCAACATCACGAACTTTGTGACATCATTCTTCGAGTCGGTGATGTTAAAATCCATGCTCACAAAGTGGTACTTGCCAGCATCAGCCCATATTTCAAAGCTATGTTCACTGGAAACCTTTCTGAAAAAGAGAACAGTGAGGTTGAGTTTCAGTGCATTGATGAAACTGCTCTCCAGGCCATTGTGGAGTATGCCTATACAGGAACTGTTTTTATTTCACAGGACACAGTTGAATCTCTCCTTCCAGCAGCAAACCTACTCCAGATAAAACTTGTCCTGAAGGAATGTTGTGCATTTCTTGAAAGCCAGCTTGATCCTGGTAATTGTATTGGAATTTCTCGTTTTGCAGAGACATACGGTTGTCATGACCTTTATTTGGCAGCTACTAAATACATATGCCAGAATTTTGAAGCTGTTTGCCAGACTGAAGAGTTTTTTGAGCTTACACATGCTGATTTAGATGAAATTGTTTCCAATGACTGTTTGAATGTAGCTACCGAAGAGACTGTTTTTTATGCCCTTGAGTCTTGGATCAAGTATGATGTACAAGAACGTCAGAAATACTTAGCACAGCTACTTAATAGTGTGAGATTACCATTGCTGAGTGTTAAGTTTCTCACTAGACTATATGAAGCAAATCATCTTATTCGTGATGATCGCACTTGTAAACATCTTTTGAATGAAGCCCTAAAGTACCACTTTATGCCTGAACATAGACTCTCTCATCAGACTGTCCTGATGACACGACCTCGCTGTGCTCCCAAAGTACTTTGTGCCGTAGGAGGAAAATCTGGACTATTTGCCTGTTTGGATAGGTAAATAGAAGGCTTTCTTAAAGGATAGATGCTAAAAGATTTTATACTTTTTAAGTGTGCTAATTTCCTCTATTTTTTAAATAATTTAATTTTACTATTCACTTTCTTTATTTGCTTTTTTTGGTTTGTTTCTTTTATTCTTCCTAAAACACTTATCTGGTTGTTTTAATCACATTGTCATCCATTCCTTTCAACACTCAGTTATTAACAACCTCCCCCCAGCTTCCCCATGCCCAAACTTTATGAATTTTGGTTACTTTTCTACCATTTTATGTCTTTTTTTTCTTTTAATTTATGAAACTGTTTACATTATCATTTGACCAGGTCAGTAGGGATTTATTATTGCTAACTATAACAGAAGATCCTAAAGAGGAGAGCTAGGAATCTTTGATGAGGGCAGACTGGGGATAAGAGTGGTTTTGAATGAATACCATCAAGTAGAAGAATCACCAAAGAAATAAGAAAAAGTAGGATGCTGAATACAAATCATGGACATACATATTTATTTTCTTCAGTATAAATATTTTTTAATGACAGTAGTAAAGAGTGCTTGCTTTTCTTTTTTTTCTTTTTTTTTTTTATTCTTATGTTAATCCCCATACATTACATCATTAGTTCTAGATGAAGTGTTCCATGATTCATTGTTTGTGCATAACACCCAGTGCTCCATGCAGAACGTGCCCTCCTCAATACCCACCACCAGGCCAACCCATCCTCCCACCCCCCTCCCCCGAGTGCTTGCTTTTCTAATAATCTACAGTAGGAGTTGTCAGACTTTTTCTGTATAGAGCCAGATAGTAAATATTTTAGACTTTGTGGCCATATGATCTCTTATGACTACTCAGCTCTGCCACTGTAGTGTGAGAGCAGCGATAGACAATATATAAACAAATGAGATGACTGTGTTCCAACAAAACTTTATTTGCAAAAGTCCCTGGTGGGCTGGATTTGGCCCTTAGCCATAGTTTGCCAGTCCCTGATTTGGAGCATTACACAAGTAACTTTTATACATTGAAAATACAGGGGCGCCTGGGTGGCTCAGTCATTAAGCGTCTGCCTTCGGCTCAGGTCATGATCCTCGGGGTCCTGGGATGGAGCCCCGCATCAGTTTCCCTGCTCGGCCGGAAGCCTGCTTATCCCTCTCCCACTCCCCCTGCTTGTGTTCCTTCTCTCACTGTGTCTCTCTCTGTCAAATAAATAAATAAAAAATCTTGAAAAAAAATTAAAAAGAAAATGTAGCTGGATGTTACCTTTGCTTTACCCTTAAATGGGAATGCTTCCTGAAAACTTTCATGTTTGATAAGTTTAATACTGTGATTTCTTTCTGGCCATTTTCAAAAATTTAGTAGATTGCTTTTTCCCCTCTCCAATGGTAGGAAACTATTGATGTTTTAGCAGTGTCAACTGATATATCTGTATCTTTTAGAAAGTCTCAGTTGCATTTTAATTGTCTAAATTAAACTAATTGCGGGGCACCTGGGTGGCTCAGTCGTTAAGTGTCTGCCTTCGCTTCGGCTCAGATCATGATCGCAGGGTCCTGGGATCGAGTCCCGTATTGGGCTCCCTGCTCGGCAGGAAGCCTGCTTCTCCCCCTCCCACTCCCCCTGCTTGTGTTCCCTCTCTCGATGTGTCTCTCTCTGTCAAATAAATAAATAAAATCTTTAAAAAAAAATTAAAAAGAAATAAATTAATTGCGTAGTCTAAACCTAGTATCATTGAAACTGGTCTATAGGTAGAATATTAGTTATGGTGACTACAAAAATTGATTATTTACTCTTATTTTTAAAGGCACTAATTATTGGCATAAAGTAAACTATACTAGTAAAATATCATGACAAAAAATTCCAAATGTGAATTTACATGGTAAAAATTCTTGATCAGTTGCCTCTTGGTCTCTCAAGTATTAAAAATAACATACATAAATTATTAAAAGCTATAAGAACTGTTCATACGTTTAGAGCCAGTAATCTTTCATATTACATCTGTTATAAGAAAATAAAAATTTTTTTTTATGTAGGCTCCACGCCCAGCGTGGAGCCCAACGCAGGGCTTGAACTTAAGACCCTGATATCAAGACCTGAGCTGGGATCAAGAGTCAGATGCTTAAACGACTGAACCACCCAGGCACCCCAGGAAAAAAAAAAAAAAAAAATTTCAGTGTCATTTGCACAAAGCCATTTATTGCAGTATTATTTATAACTATGGAAAAATGTGAATCAATCTAAAAAAATTATTTTATTTAATTCTACAAAAAATATTTAACACCTGTGCATCAGACACACTATGCTGGATAATGGATCTTTAACAAGTTTATAATTTACTTAAGGAGACAGATATTTAAGTAGTTAATTATAATATGTAGTGTTAATGCAGTGATAAAGATAATACCATGGAAGTATTAAGGAAAGGCATTTATCCCATTTGGGGGATTTAAGGAAGATATTGTGGAGAAGTTAACATCCAAGCTGAGTGTTGAAGTTGCTAAGCAAGACCCAAGCAAAAAGTCACCGGGAGTACACAAAGACACAGTGGAATGATAGAGTATAGGATGTGCAGAAGATTAAAAACTGTTTGATATTCCAGAGCATAAAATTCAAAGATCAGGGGCCCCTGGCTGGCTCAGTTGGTGGAGCATGCGACTCTTGATCTCAGGGTTGTAAATTCGAGCCCCACGTTGGGTGTAGAGATTACTTAAAATAAAATCTTAGGGGACAAAAAAAACAAATGCAAATTAAAAATAAAAATAAAGTTCAAAGATCTAAACAGTAAGGGGTAGGCAGTTGTCAGTATGGGCCAAGTCAAAGAAAGTATCCTGTGCCATGATGAAGAGGATTTTTCTTATGTGAGTCAAGAAACAATTTTAAGGAGGGTAGTGAAATGATCAGATTCATATATTAGATCATCCTTGGCTGCCTTACAGAGAAAGATTGAGGGGCCAGAATTAGTATCCGAGTCATTAGGAAAGAGACTATTATAAAAGTACAGGCAAGAGATTATGAGGTCCAAAGTGAAAGTAGCAAAGATAGAGAAGGGGGCATTAATTTAAGAAATGTTTAGAGAAAATTGACAGGATTTAGTGAATGGATATGGGGGGATGGTGAGAGGGAAGAATCAAAGATGAGTTAGATTTCTTGGTTAGATATTGGATGAATCTGATATACCACAAGAGAGAATATAGGAAGAGGAGCCATTTTTAAGGGGAAAGTAATGTGTTCAGTTTTGGACATACTGAGTTTGAAGTGCCTATTAAATATCCAAGTGAAGGATGTCCCACTAGCCAGAAATGATTGCAAAGCTCAACGAAGAGATCAAAGCTGGGTATTTTGAAGGTTTTGGCATGTAATATCATTTGGAGGTATAAATTAAAACCATGAAGTCTTCTGGACTTCTTGACTAGTTTAAATGTCCCTTCTTTCTACCCACTGAGAACATATAGAAAGGAAAAAAAGATTGGTTCATAAATGACTCTGGAGAACATTAATATTCTAGATGAAGGCCACAAGAACAGTTTTATGTTAGTTAATCACCATACATTACATCATTAGTTTTTGTTGTAGGGTTCCATGATTCATTGTTTGCATATAACACCCAGTGCTCCATGCAGAACATGCCCTATTTAATAAGGCCACAAGAACAATCTTGGAGGTAGGAGAATCAAGAGAGAATAATGTCATGAAAACCAAGGAATTTAAATGTGTCAAGAAGGAAGAAGTGTGATTAACAGTGTAAAATGCTAAGGAATGTTCCAGACAGATAAAGATAGAAAAGTGGCTCTTGAACTTGGCTATGTGGAGATCATCAATGACTTTTGGTGGAGTAATTTCAGCAGAATTGTAGGAAGGCTGTGGATATATTATAGCAAATAGAGATGTGTATAAAAAATAAGGAAATAAACTATGAAGACTTTTAAGAATCTTGGCTGAGATGAGGAGAGAGGCAAGGCAAAATGATAGGTCAGAGGAAGTTTTTGTTTATTTTGTTCTTGAAGAGAGAGAGACATGAGTATGTTTATTATCAGATGCCAGTAAAGAGGGATAAGGTAAAGATACAGGATAGAGGAATGGTCATTAATAAAGCAAGATTTTAGAGGAAATTGAAAGGGGTTGGTATCAAAAGCAAAGGTAGAAGGTTTTTGTTTTTATTTTTAAAGATTTTAGTTAGTTATTTGTCAGAGCGCACAAGCAGGGGGAGCAGCAAGCAGAGGGAGAAGTAGGCTCTCCATTGAGCAAGGAGCCCAATGCAGGACTCTATCCCAGGACCCTGGGATCGTGACCTGAGCTGAAGGCAGATGCTTAACCGACTGAGCCACCCAGGTGCCTCAAAGGTAGAAGGTTTTAAATATGAGGAAGAGGGACTCTATGTCCCATAACCAGAATATGAGGATAGGTTTGCTGGAGTGAGGAGAGGTGGGAGAAGGAGTTTAAGATAGGTACTGTCCAATAGCCTCAGTTTTTCTCTTTAACTAGAAAAGGAAGGAGGTCTGCAAAAGAGGGAAGTGGGGATTGGGTAGGTGGCTTAAGAAATCTCAGGAAGCTCTGAGTATTGTTTCTGCTTACACATAGGGAGTCATAAGGATGGCAGTACATTAGAAGTGATTTTGAATAATTGTGCAAATAGGTTAAATGGACTTTGAGCCACACCACTCATGACACCACTCACCTCAGTGCTCTAAGTTACAAGTCAGATTCCAAGAAAGAAGCTCTCATTACAACTAATTATCCATTTGCCCTCAAGAACCATAAGGACTAAAACCTTTATATCTTGTATCTCGGTTTACCTAAATCACTTTTGAAAATCCATCATCATAGCTGAACTCTTATTGAGAGGTTTTTTTCTCATACCAATCAGTTCTCCAGTTCTCCAACACTAAATGCATGTCCAATAATTCTGACACTATCCAGAGTTAGCTCAGACCCCACTGCTTAAGGGTTAGTCCCAGAAGACTGTCCCCACTTAAGATGCTAGCGACAAGTGGGGTGCCCACGCTACCCGCATTTCTGTCTGGATGACTGAAAGTTCAGGAGTTCCCACAATACCCCCCACACACACGTTTGCCAGAATGACTCCTAGAACTCAGGAAAGTGCTTTACTTACCAGTTTATTACAAAGAATACAACTGAGCAACAAATGGAAGAGATACATCGAGCAGGGTATGGGGAGGGGGACAGAGCTTCCATGCCCTCTCTCGGCATGCCACCCACCCCTAGCATCTCAGTGGTCACCAGCCTAGAAGCTCTCCAAACCCTATTGTTTAGGGAGTTTTATGGAGATTTCATTATGAGGGTAAGATTGATTAAATCATTGGCCATTGCTGATTGAGCTCAACCTCCAGACTGTTAAATCACATGGTGGGTACCTTTGGCTTCTCCCCCCGCCCCCATGCTGAAGCTATCTAGGTGGCCACTTGTAGTCACCTCAGTAGCATAAACTCAGGTGTGATTGAAAAGGGCTCATTATAAATAACAGACATTCCTATCACTTAGAAAATTTCAAGAAGTTTAGGAGCTCTGTCTTAGAAACCTGGGCTATAACCCAAATAAATTGTTTTTTATTACACCATTATTGTATGTTCCTATATATCATCTAATTTAACTTAATCACCCAGCCCTTTTCTTTTTTTATTTTATTTTTTTAAAAGATTTTATTTATTTATTTGAGAGAGAGAATGGGAGAGAAAGAGAGTACACACGAGAGGGGGGAGGGTCAGAGGGAGAAGCAGACTCCCTGCTGAGCAGGGAGCCCGATGCAGCAGGACTCAATCCTGGGACTCCAGGATCATGACCTGAGCTGAAGGCAGTCTCCTAACCAACTAAGCCACCCAGGCGCCCCAGCCCTTTTCTTTTTGATTCCTCAAATCTGTCTGTCATATCCAGTAGAATTCATATTCAATCGTAAGAAAAATCCCCTTTATTTTCAACTTCTTGTTCTAATGAAATATGACTGATGCTTAAGGATACTGTTTTTGCCAAAGCCCTCTCAAACCTGTTTTGTTTTGTTTTGTTTTGTTTCTCCATACCTCATGTATCACAGGTCCTAAAGGTTGGGTAAGTGTTCTCTTTGTTCCTCATATCCACTTCCCAAATTTTTCATCTCCCCTCTCTCCAAAATCTCAACTCATTCCAAGCATTTGCCATCAGGCTGTATCATTTGATACACCTTCTTGGTGCCAACATCTGCTATCTCTTCAGTAACTTCATTTATTGAAGATTTTTATAGCTGGCTTATTTTCTCATCATTCTATACAAACAGTCATTCTTGCTGATTTCAACATCCCCATAGTATGATCCACAGTTATACAACAACTTTGCCTCTCTCCTTGATCTCACTTCTAACAGTCTTTTCTGCCTTTACCTTAGGCACTGTTCTCATGATTATATTTCAACTTCGTCATTACCAGTGACTTCAAACTTCCAAAATCTTGGTTTCATGCATTCTGTTCTCTGACTACCACCTCCTTTCTTACTAGCTTATTTATTTCAGTACTATACTGCAGTCATTCTTTGTTCCCTTCAAGACTTTTAATCCTTTGGTCCTATAATCAGAAAACTTACTGCTCACTGATCACTACATGTCCTCAGCTTAGATTCCAGGAACATCACTGTTGTCATTCCTTTGAATACGCTCATGGCTCCCTTGCCCTTCTTCCATCATACTCTATCTAGAGTTAGACTCAGTTCTCCACTTATGCCATGGCTGCACCTGAGCAGCAATATGTGGCTAGAGAAGCACACATACCTATCTTAAGTGGTCCCACTTAAGACACTTAGCAATGTCAGCAACCCCTTTACTTTCCCTAAGTGATTTATTCTTCCACTTCCTTGGAGGACTGTTTTGTACCTCTTCTCTCCATAAAAACATCCAAACCCCCCCAACCCTCATCATTCCAACTCTCACCTGATGATGACTTTTTCTCTTACTCTACTAAGAAGATAGAAGCAATCAGAAGAATACTGACTCATCTGATCTCCAAATCCACCAAGTTATTTCTAAGATCAATCCCTCCATTTCTCTACTTACTAGCTTCCATTCCCTCTTCTCTGCACAAGGGCTCTGCTCTTGCATTTATCCCGTATCTCTTTTACATCACCTTCCCCCACTGTACTACATCATTGCCATCAACATGCAGACATGTTCTGGTTTAAGCTCCCAGATTAAACCACTCTTCCCTGGATGCCATGTTCTTTTCTCTGCTTATCCTTATATCTGTCTCATCTGTTTTATTCTTTATAGAAAAGTCCTTGGAAAAGTGGATATCCACTGTTTTTCCTTCATCTCCTTTTCTCTCTTAAACCACTCCAGTCAAGATTTGTCCCCACCACGTCACTGAAAATGCTCTCATTAAGGTCAAATAATTCCCTGGTGTATCATTTTCACTGGAACAAATTCACATTTTTAAAACAAGCAATATAACAAAACTATATAGGCACTCAATAACTGTTGAATGAATGAATGTTCTTTAATCATACTGGATCGAGAATATGTATTTTTATGCTATTGCACAGAGTTTGGAGACATTGAAATGAAATATGTATACTTGCAAGAGACCATATGTAATTTGCATGCAAGGTATAAAGAAAAAAATCTAAGTACCAGTTTAAGAAATAGACTATTAACAATACCTTTAATTCCCTTGTGTCCCTCCTTGATGCATCTCCTTTCCTCTTCTAGAAGTAACCACTATTTTGAATTTTCTGCATATTATTTCTTTGCTTTTCATTGTAATTTTGCCACATATTCATGTGCCTCAATATAGCATTAGGTTTTATACATTTTTATGTAAGTAGAGTAATTCTACATATATTCTTCAGGGATGTGTTTTCTTACTGAACAATAAGTTTATGAAATTCATCTGTGAGATTGCATGAAGCAATAGTTCACTTAGTTTCATTGGTGTATGGTATTACAGTATATGGGTATAACAATATTTTCTTTTTACAATGAACATATTAATAAGAATTAAAGTGTTACACACATACAGAAGAATGCACAAATCCCAAGTGTACAGGTCAGTGAATTATCACAAAGTGCATGTTACAAACCAGTTCAAGAAATAGTATGTGACCAACACCCAGAAACCACTCTGGAGTTCCCTCCCTGCCCTCCCCAGAGGTAACCACTATCCTCATTTCTAATCCGGAGATTAGAAATGTTTTTGAACTTGGTATAAATGATACCATACAGAATGTATTCTTTTGATTTGGGCTTCTTTCCCTTGGCATTATATGTATAAGATTCACTTCTGTTAAAAGAAAAAAAAAGATTGGGGCGCCTCGGTGGCTCAGTTGTTGAGCGTCTGCCTTCGGCTCAGGTCATGATCCTGGGGTCCTGGGATTGGGCCCCACATCGGGCTCCCTGCTCCGCGGGAAGCCTGCTTCTCCCTCTCTCACTCCCCCTGCTTGTGTTCCCGCTCTCACTGTGTCTCTCTCTGTCAAATAAATAAAATCTTTAAAAAAAGATTAATTCCTGTTACATGTAGCTGTAATTTATTTTCATTGCTGTATTCTCTGATATGCCACAATTTATTTATCTGTTTTATGGTTGATGAACATTTGAACTGTTTCCAGTTTTTGACTGTTACAAATAATGCTGCTGTGAACATCAAACATACACATGTATGCATTTCTTTTGGGTACGTAGAATTGCTCAGTCTAGGGTGGATATACCACATTGTACTTACCCATTCTCCTTTTGATGGGTGATTGTGCTGAGCTGCTGTAAACATTTCTGTATGTATGTCCTGATGCAAAACTGACTATAACAGGCATTCAATAGTATAGATACACATGAACAAAATTGCTGAGTCAGAACTTTTGTGTACCTTCAGTTTTACCAGATAATGCAAAATTGTTTTCCAGCGTAGTTTGTACCAGTTTACGCTCTCACCTACAGAGCATGCATTTCTTGCTCACATTCTCGCCAACAGTTGTTTTTATCTGACTTTAAATTTTTGCCAGTCTGGAAAGTGTGTTATGGTTTGTTGTGGTTTTAATTGGCATATCCCTGATTACTGAAGAGATTAAACATTTTTATTTGTTTTGGGGCCGTTTTGATATTTAAAATTTAATTTTTTCTGCTTATTCTTTAGTGTGGAGATGTACTTTCCTCAGAATGACTCTTGGATTGGTTTGGCACCCCTAAACATTCCTCGCTATGAATTTGGAATATGTGTTTTAGACCAAAAAGTGTATGTTGTAGGTGGTATTGAAACGAACGTGCGTCCTGGCATCACTATCAGAAAACATGAAAATTCAGTAGAATGCTGGAATCCTGATACAAATACCTGGACTTCTCTTGAGAGAATGAATGAGAGCCGCAGTACCCTTGGAGTAGTAGTACTTGCAGGAGAACTTTATGCTTTAGGTGGTTATGATGGACAATCTTATTTACAATCTGTAGAGAAGTATATTCCTAAAATAAGAAAATGGCAACCTGTGGCACCAATGACTACAACAAGAAGCTGTTTTGCTGCAGCCGTGTTGGATGGAATGATATATGCCATTGGTGGGTATGGTCCTGCCCACATGAACAGGTATTTAATTTGATGAAGTTGTATATACTTGTGGGTTTTTAAAGTCTCATTAATGATTCATACACAACTCGTATGTGTGAATGAACTTCCCTTTTTAATTTTTAAAGTAATATTGTTAGGCATTTGGGAAATTTAATCTGCTCTATGAGTGTAATTGTTTTACATGAGGATTTAATACAAACCTAAAAATGAATCCCTCTTATAAAATTTTAAATTCATTCATTTAATATAATTGGACTAGATTTTAAAATTCAGAGATCTGAGTATAAAATGAAGTTAGACAACTTTAGATTTTGGGTGGTGAATGTATATAAATATGGGTGTGTGTGTGTGTGTATAAATGATCTGTTACCACATTGCTTAGCAGAATAAAAAGTGAAAAATGTAATTCCTGTATGCTTATATATTATGCATTATAAACGTAAAGCCTTATTTAAATATTCCTTTTTGGATTCTTATTCTATAATCATGCATGTATCATTGTGTACCTGAGTTCTGCTGGAGTCTGAATTTGAGATTTCTGTATTTTGTAGTATTCTCTGAATAAAGGAGAAAAATATATGAGAAAAATAAAAGCATAAAGTGACTTGCTTATATGGAAAATTAATCATAATTCTGAATTGTTGTTGAGAATTGCTGTTCCAAAGATTTTCTCTGATAGTAACTAGAGTGGTGTGTGTTTTGTTGAATTGTGAGCATTTAATGGAAGAGTATATTGTGGTTTGTTAACCGAGAAAGCAAGAGCACAACAGCATTTATCTATAAATTTTTATTTCTTTGTAAGCTAAAATATTCCTCCTTTTTATTGCTCCTGTAATTGAAGGAAAAGTATTTGGGGCATAGACATGCATTTTTATTCTTTGAAATGTGCTGGCAGAAATTTATAAGATAAATGGTTGAGTATTTCTTTTGGGAGCTAATGCTCTTGAAGTTTAAGTTCTTGCTATAGTTTATCAACTCTTCTTGTCCAGTAATTGAGCTCTAATGGCTTTTATCCCAATGTCCTTTCAGAAATATTTATAGTTTAGTCTACGTTCTAGTCTAGTCTACAGTCTAGTCTCTGTTCTGAACTCGAGAATTATGCTACTAACTCTCAAATGCTTCAGGCTTTTTTAAGAAGTTAGGTTAGGACCAGAACAAGCTCAACAAGCCTGCCTTTGTGCTCACTTGTGTCAAAATAAGAGATTTAAAGTCCTTCCGGGATTTTCTAGGAAAGCTTTTTAAATTCTGGTTTGCTTTGGATATCCATAATGCAGCTTGGAAATGCCAAATGTTCTCTGGAATGCAGACTTGATTTAAACCCCTGAATTCTCCTAAATCACTCTGAGATTATTATGATTGGCCAGTTTATGTTATGTAATCTGCAGTGTTTGCTTTGCAGTAAACCACCACGACTTCTATAAGGCAAAAAATTCCTCTCCTTTCCTTTTTTTCATCTTCCCTTTTCCTTAGCTGTATAGGAAATCCTTAGTGTCCTTAGAAAACATTTATATTTAATTTGTGATTTTCAAAGCGCTTTCAGAACATGCATACTCATTTGGCTTTATTCTTACATAAATCCTTTGAGGTTAGGTTATCCCCATTTTTTCAGGTGGAGGAAAGGGCTTATCCAGGATTACACATACCCGTTAGGGATAGGGTTCATTCAGCTCTAAGTATACAGCATTAATACTTGAACCGAGATTTCCTGAGTCCAGAAGCGCTATGCCCTTTATATACCCTGCTGCTTGTATGAAATAAGGGAATAGCAAACGGGTATTCTTGCTCCCAGTTCACAAGGTAAGCTTTTATCCTTGCAATTTTATCAGCAAAATGTAAACATCTAGGACAAGCTACTCTTGTTTTATATCTGTCTGTTGGAACTTCTAAAACTATGGTAGGTTTTAATTTTGCTTTGGTAGGAAGAGTGGTACAAGGAATATGCAAATTAATTCTTTCTTTTGTGAATATTTGCAGTGTGGAGCGTTATGATCCAAGTAAGGACTCCTGGGAGATGGTTGCATCTATGGCAGATAAAAGGATTCACTTTGGTGTGGGTGTCATGCTAGGCTTTATTTTTGTGGTGGGTGGACATAATGGTGTCTCACATTTGTCAAGCATTGAAAGATATGACCCTCATCAAAATCAGTGGACTGTGTGTAGACCAATGAAAGAACCCAGAACAGGTAATAATAACTAACTAATATCTAAACATAGAGGATGATATGTCTTATTGTGATATTCTTGGAATAGTAGTTCCTTGGAATATAATAGTAAGAGTATTACTTGTCCAGTAAAAAACAAACAAAAAAAACTTTATTGTGCTGAACTTGAGAGACTACTGATTTGACAAAACTACATAGATTTCTATACTGTGATTTTTTTTTAAGATTTTATTTATTCATTTGAGACAGAGAGAGAGAGCATGAGCAGGGGAAGAGGCAGAGGGAGAGGGAGAAGCAGGCTCCCTGCTGAGCCAGGAGCCCCATGCGGGACTCGATCCCAGGAGCCTGGGATCATGACCTGAGCCGAAGGCAGACGCTTAACCATCTGAGCCACCCAGGCGCCCTATACTGTGATTTTTAATATGCCAATATGCATATTATCATTTCTTAAAGTTGGGACAACATATTTTAGAAATGGTGGGAATAGAATGTATCTTACAGAAGCTCTTCTGTCCATATAACAAATGTCATCTTTTTATATGTTAAACACACACACACAGAATCTTTGGATTGTTCTTTTTTTTTATTGTACATCAGCAGTCTATATGTTAACTTTCAAATGTTCTCACGTACATAGGGTGTTCGGAAATCTAGGAAAGGCTGGATTTCAGGGTTTCCAGAGAAAAACAAAAACATCTTTGAGGAATAGAAGAAATTACCTTTGAACCCAAACTCAAATTACATTATTTTAAGGGGAAGGTTTTAAGTTGCTGATGGAAATGCTTTAGGGATATTTCTTGCGTAAGAGGGAAAGTCGTAAAATAATAAGAATGTGAAAAAACATTGGGTAGTTTTGTTCCCTTTAGAACTGTGTATAACAGTATATACAGTAGAATTTTTAAAGCATAGGTTGTATAGTTCAAGATATATTTCAAATATTTCAGCATATTTAAAAACCTGATAAAGATGAGTGATTTGTTGAAAAATATGTAAATATAAACAAAAGAAAACATATGGAAAGATGTATAGTGCATTCTTTGTATTTTTCTGTGGTGGAGTAGAGGGAGAGTAGGATTGGGGAAGAGAGGTTAAGGAAGACTTCAACTCTTGCTTTCATGTTAAGGGATTTTTTTCCCCAGTAAGTACATATGGCAATGTTGCTTGTATAGTTAACAATAGATTATTGAAATGTATTTTAAGAAAACATTAAAATACAAATTTATTTTTAGTGAGAGGTCAACTTCATGGTTAACATATTTGTTCCCTATTTTTACCCACTTTTCCTAGGGGTTGGTGCTGCAGTAATTGATAACTACCTTTATGTAGTTGGTGGTCACTCAGGGTCTTCCTATCTGAATACCGTGCAGAAATACGACCCTATATCAGATACGTGGCTGGATTCAGCTGGCATGATATACTGTCGCTGCAACTTCGGATTAACAGCACTTTGACAAGTGTGGACTGGTGGGAGTCGTGTGGTGATGAACCTTGGGCCACATGAACGGATGCCCCACTTTCTGAAATCCAAAAGCTAACAGTACTTTCTCTAACTTGAAATGGCATGAAGACTCAAAGTTCTGTTGGGTACTTTGACAAGTAGCTTTGGTTGCTCTTGATTACACAGTGAATCAATAATCAAAAAAAAAAAAAAAAGGAAAGATCTTGCCAATTTAATTGTGCACTTTTTTTCCCCCTAATACTGGGATAGTTTTATTTTCATAAGTGTACATGCAGAGAAAATCTTGCTGCTTTAAAAAAATTTTTTTTTCAGCTCTTCTTCTTCCTTAATATATGCACCATGATTTACTGGGATGAGAGATGCTTACATGTTGGGAGTGTATTGAATGACTAGACAGAGTGCTGATAGTGTCTGTTGGGTATAAATTCATATGCTTCATATTTTAAACAAAGGGCTGCTTTTTTGAGGGGGGTACTTAAGGGTTGTAAATTATATACCATAGTGAGTCATATTCTTCCTACTAAATGGCTTTAGGACTGGGGATGTAGTAAGTTTGCCAAACAAATGCTTTTACTATCGTGATTTTGGGGGCTTATTTTAAGAAGTCAGATATTTACTGTTTATGCCTTTTTTATACGGCAGGTTAATGCTGGATGAATTTAGTTACCCACCTGTGCTATGCTAAGCATGGATAGAAAGTTAAGCATATCAGTTTCAGTTTTATTTTTTCATAGTACAGCAGGCTTCCCAGTGTTGATGTAAATATTTGACAAATGTTTAGTACCACCCTTAGTACATACTGATTTTTTTCACATATCCTTATATTAATTTTAGTTTTTTAAGATCTTTGGTTGCTTTTTCACAGTGTTCAGATATAAAAATGGTGCTAACTGTAGGATCTGTAAAAAGGCTATAATAATGTTCTTTTGGATGTTCAGTATGAGATATGCATGACATGTTTTAATAGTATTTTTTCATTTTTACTGGTGTGGTTCATTTGTGCTATTAAAAATGTTAGCGATTATGCTAATGTTAACATCCAAAACTCATCTAAATGGCCCATGTTATGCTTTTCATGGTTCCTGAGTAGTGATTTAAAAAAAGATGCATTTTTTATCTTCTTCTTGTGCTAGATATATGTCCCTTATAAAAACAAATATATGCATTAAATATAAAGCACTAGGCAGTTATGCATTACTTTGTACACTTTTTAGGTAATTGAATATTTTAAAGTTACTGAGGAAGACTGGAACTCGATGTTTACTTGAGTAATGGTTCTAAATTTGGTTCTACTTTGACTAAAGAAACAAGCAAGACTGTTTGCTATAGCAGTGACAGCTTATTTAAAATAAGTGGTCAGCTCATTTTGTTTTAGCATGTTTAGAAAATATCTGTTAGTCTTGAACATATTACTTTGCATTTTATTAGGATGTCGGTACTTGTATTTTTGGTACTATAGTTGTTTTCTTTTCTTTTCCTTGATTTTTTTTAACCTGTCTATTATCTCTTTATAGTCTCTGCAAAACCAGTGTACATTTGTTTCCTAAGAAAAAATTCATACTGCATTCTTAAGTGCCAGTAGTTCCAAACTATTGTTAAGAAGCCATTTGTAATTAATAAAACATAGGTTTGTTCATTAGCATCTGTGTTATAAACTATTTATAGCCTGGCAGTTTGCAGTTTTTCTTGTTCTTCCATAAACTGCCAGTATAGTTTTAAATATATAGTACAAAACTCTGTAGTTGTCTTTAATCATGTAAGTAGTATGCTTTATGAATATTTGCACAGATTATAAAACCTTGCAAGTGATTTTTAGTCTCTTCCAATTAAAAACTCAACAGGAGCTACTAATAAAATTGACAGGCTGAGTATTTTCTATGTTGCTTGTTTGAATAACAATGATATATAGCAATAACTTTTTAATTGATTTGAATAAACCTACTGAATAGAAACAAGGTGCACTATTGTGATTGGCCTAGACTTTATTTAAAGAAAAGCAATTTAAAATAGATTTCATTACATGCTTAATTTTAAGTCCTCAACTCAGTTTTTTTTGTTTATATCAAATTGTTAAATGCGTTCTATTAATAAACTATTTTTAATCTTCTATCCTCCAAAGATAAAGGAATTTGAAAAACTATAAAAATCTATTTTAATTGTAAACAGACCTATACTATACATTTTAACAATATTTTACTCATGTATCATCATCCCCACTATCAAATTGTTATAAAACATATAATCACTTGGTAAGTTAGACCAAAGGCATGTATTGATCATTGTTTTGGAAAAATCTATACTTTATCCTGCTAAAGACTAAATGTGAAGCATCTTGGGCAATAGTAGGAACCATATACCAGAGAATAAATTACAAAAGCTTGTAAAAAGAAGAGAGGAAACACCAAACTTTAAAAATAATAATTTTGGGTTTACTAAACCTACGGTACTATTCCTAACAACCAGAGGTATTGTAACCTGACAACTGATAACTTTACAATAGACCTTCTCATACAGATTTGTGAGAAGTTTCATCATGAATATTTTGCTGACAAATTGTGTATTAAAAGTCACATGTTTCTTATGTTAAAAAGCATCAAAATGTTTGATTATAAATTCCCACAGTTAAAGATACTAGAAATAATTTTATATACTCAGGCAAGGGGGAGAAAGCTATTTAAGATTGTCCAGAAATATTTTGGAAAAAGGGTGACAGTGGAAATAGAAATTAATCTTATCATTTGGAAGATACTTGCCTCCCATAATTATGAAGACTTAATCTGGTAGGAATGTTTAGCTATTTACTGTTTGTTAAATATAGTGCTAGAACTTAAGTGATCTTTAATGTAGCCCAAAGGATGTTTATGTAAGTTCCATAGGTTATTGCTAATATTGTTTCAAATATGAATGAATATTAAACTATAGTAAGTGGTATCTAATGATAGGAAAATGGCATTAGGTTTTGAAAAATTATTTTGATAGCTTGACAAATTATGGAGGGTCTACTATGTGTACTTGATACTGTGCCAGATTCTGTCAGGGCTAGAAATGTTACAAATAAGATACAAGTCTTTTCAAAGAGTAAAGTATAGGGAGGGAGACCTGTACCCAAAATAACTCTTCTGGTGAAGTGTGAATTTAATTCCTTATAGCCAATATCATCAGAAGTGATTAGAAACCTAATTTATGTATAGACATTTGTGTCTTTTAGTGTCCAGTTAGGTTTCACTGACATGAAAAAGAATTATAGAAAACTTAATATTTGTAGGACTCCAAACTTCCTGGAATTGGATAATATATTTTCTATTAGAAAAAAGTATAGAAATTTTAAAAAATTAATTACTATATTATCAAGGCTCTGGCTAACATTGAAGGAAATATATGTACATATAATGCTGTGTTTATTTTCAGTTTTGGTGTTGGATTTCTGGTATTGTCACCTAAGTGCTCATTTTCAGGAAAATCAGATTCTACAATAAATATACTGCTTAAAAGTTCAATAAACTTGTGATAACCTCTATAACCTCTGTAGTCTGAAAGCTAAGAAATTATAAGATGTCACATGTCAAGTTAACATCCAGTTCTACTTCTTAACCTTTCTTTTTTCCTTTGTAAAACAGCACTTTAATTAGACATGATTTAATTAGATACATTTATTCTGTGGCTGGATACATATTGGGTTTTCACTTACAGTATATTGATTCAGTGTTGATACCCATTTAAAAGAGTGCAAAATACAGTAAGTTTTAAACACTATAGGTTTACAAGCTTTCTTACTGGTGTGAATATGGAGTCAATAAAAATCCAGTTTACATCTCTGTAGAGAGAAAAATTGTTATCCATATGTCTTTTATATTATGCATATTTAACTAGAGATAATTTATTGTTAATTTTGTCAAGTTATCATGTGTAAGTCCCGTTTATTTTAAAATACTAAGCAAAAAGTTCCAAGTTTGCCTTAAAATACAAGTGAAATTAAAGAACTGGATGATAATGCCTCTATTTTTGCCTTATGAATTGTGCTGTATCATAAACCAGAGATGGTTTTGATTTTAACAGGATTCTGAAATTTTGTAGATGTAGAGTACTAATATTTGTACTCTCTTGCAAAGAATGTGATCTAGTGGATTATGTTAATGTTTAAGTGTTTTGTAAATGTATTTTACCTCTGAATATGTATCTTTTCAGCATCAGGGTTTTATTTTTTGTTTACATGGTAAAGTGGCATTTAACTTGTTGAAGGTTGTATTCTTTTGTATTTTATTTTAAAAGTTCCTTGTGTGTACTATTGTGGTGATGCTCTGTAATGACTATGGTTAAATTTCATTTAATGTGAAATGTGTAAAATAAATTTGAGAAACATGACCTTGTGTGTGTCAATTGTTGTGAACTGACCCAAGCTAACTTTATCATTTTCAACTCTTAGATGCTTTTTGGTAGATAGGTAGTGGTCACAAATGTTGAGGTGGGTGTGGGATAGCCAGTCTTTTACATCCTCATTACCAGGTTATAATGAAACATGTGTTAGGCTAAATTCTGCCACATGTTATTAAAGAAACATTCTTCAGCAAAGCCAGCGCAAAAGAGTTTAATTGGTAAGTTCAGTGCAGTCCCATGATTTAACTTGCCTTGTAAGAGGGGTTTACTTGAGGCAGACGAGGCAGCGTTCCAGAGTATTCTGTTATGTTTAAGCCCAGTATCAGATAACCAGCAGTCCTCCTAAAGGAAAGAGTGTAAACAGGGATTAAGCCCCAGGTGCAATCTTTAAAGATGTTGTAAACTATAGGCCTGCATGGATTCAGATAACCTGTCCATGCAAGGATTGGAAATATATTTAGACAATCTGTATATCTTGAAACTCTTAATTTCACCACTAAGAGCAACTTTTTGATTCATGTTAGTCTGTGAGCCACTATTGCCCAATAATGTCCCTGACGTTTAATATACTAAAGAGCAAAACATTGGATGCTGATCAAATTATGGATAACAAGTGTTTGTAGCTGCCTTGAGTATGGATTTCCTGGTTAAAATACAGCTAGCCATCCCTCAACTGCATTCCTAACAGGGCAACTCCTAGAGTTTAAGTAGAAACTTAACAGATGCATGCCGAAGTATATTATAGATGGAAAAAATATGCAAATACCCATTTTACGAGTACCTATTAAAATATTGAAATTAAGATTTTTTGACTGAGTGG